CGTGATCATCTGATGATATTCCTCTAAATCGGGAAGGGATTGGATCTGTTGCTTGGGATCCCGGAGCTTTCCAGTCCAGCTGCACTGTGGCACGAGTTCGGCTGGATCTACCATGAAATGAGTCTCCGGGCAGCATTTCTGAACACACAACTTCCCCTCGCAGTCTTGGATCTTCCTTTCGATTTTCTGCCAGATTCGAGCCAGATTTATCCAGGATCCATCTGGCCAACGTCCATGATCCAAACAGAACTGATCGGAGGAAAATGTTAAATTCAATGCTGGAACATGAAGATGTCCTGTGTCCTGAAACACTGGCCAGTTCGCTTTCGGACAATCGTGGCACGTGATCTGAATTAAGAAGTGTTTGGCCCAAGGAATTGGACCTATGTCGTCTATCTGGAGTCGAAATTCATCCGCTGCAAACATGCGAAACTTGCAAACCATGCGAAACATGCGACCCTGACACCGGATGCCTCCCGACTCGACCACCACATACCTGCCCTCGCCAGGACAACACTCTTTCACGACGCCCGGTAGTTCATTTCTCGCCGAGCCTCCTGGGAAGTGCAGAATGACAGACAGAACACAAACCATGTAGTTGTGGAACCCAGCCATGATCCTCTCCTCCCCTCCAGGCTCTCTCTCCTCATCTCCCCTCGAAACACCCTCCAAACATGGAATGACTTCCCTTCAAAACACTTCCCCCCAACCTTCCAACCGCAATTCAACGAAGACTCCGAACGACACAGCGAACGAGTAACGAACCGACGACCACGGAATGACCTTCCAACGCGACCGCACCTTCCCATCCCCACATGGGATTCCCCGGAACCCATTGCACCCGGGGCAAGGCCGAGGAGTCCATTCGAGCTCGCAGCCGGACTTGCATACGAAACGATCCTGCCTCACGTCGAGATCCTTCCCTCGTTGACTCGTTTCATGTCATTCCCGGTGGTGTTTCATCCAGATCAAACGTGAATCTTCCGCCCACCTTTTGATGTCATCATAGACGATACGAGGACTGCAATTCGAGGATGCGAAAAGGGCACCTGAATTTCTCATGGATTAGGAGCCAAATGAATAGTCCATGATAATAAAAAAAGACGTCTTGATGAGGTGGAAATTCGGTCGAAAATCAAGCGGGGGCACATGCCCCCCCCCCCCCTGGAAATCGGGCATGGCAGTTTACTGGTATAGATAGTACTAAAAAAGAAATTTAATGCACTTCATGTGGAAATCTCTTCTTCCGTAGCACCATTTAGACCAATCTTGCCACGCAATAGGAAACATCCTAACGAGTTAAAAATTCAACTCAACCCATCGGGTCCAGAGGTTTAGGTAACACTACTGCTCTACATAACATCGCGCCAAAGGATGAGGACGACGTCACCCTCGAGCACGCCGATGCAATGGCAGACGATTCCCCAGTCCACAGACCTCCAATCGTTCCCGACAATTTCAAGTTTGACAGATAACTTCACGAGCAGACCAAAAAAAGATCAACATTCGAGATTGTACGTAAATCTGCATGAATAGTTGACCGTTTAAGACAACTTACCTTTTTCTGCCTCTTTTTAGAATGGGAAGTGACAGAAGCCCTGAAATTTCTCAATTTACCTGATTTCAGTGTGTAGTGTCCAGTGTCTGAGGAGCAGACGACAGGACCGCACGCAGTGTTGCTCGAAACGAGTAACCCAACCAGGCACAGATTTCGTGGATAAGTACTTATACCATGCCAGCTTCTCACCGGAGGAATGATTTTAAAACGCCAAGACGTCCATGAATATCGTGAGAAGTGCTAGGAGTAAATATCTTCCCTGTCTGACTCGACACTTGAACATCGAAGTGACGTCAAGAAAGCAACCAGAGCCGTCATTGTATCAGAATGTTGTCGCTACGTTGTCGATATCAAGAGTGTCAACATTCTCTCAATGTTGATAGCTTATGTTGCAATGAAATTCGTAGAAGTGTCGCAGCAACATTCCGAGTGAAAACATTGAAACAATGTTTTCTCAATGTTGTACAGCAACTTGCAACATAGAGCAACATAGGCAACATTTCGAAAACGTTTCATCAACATACTGTATTACTTGGGTTGGCATCGAATACTTATGAAATGCTCCAAAATTTAACCCCACTGGCTCTAACGATTTTCGAGATTTGCAGAGCTAAATTTAGCGCCCCAAGAGGAAAAGGGACCGTTTTGGGTAAAAACGGTATCTTTGGTCCCAGTTGAGCTAGAACTCTAATTAACTCTTGGACTCTAATTATAGCTGTGACAATGCAGGATCGCAATATCAAATCCATTTGATACTACGTTTAACACCAAGTGAGTTACACAAACTCAAAAATAGAAAATATTACCGAATTTCGCACGCAACTTTTTAGCACTAGTATGTATGGCAACACAACGAGCTTTTGCAACGTTGTAGAATAAAGCAATGCCAATTCAAGAACTAAATTTCAACTTCCTGCATTGTTTAAGCAACTTAAAATTAAATTTATCAACTTCAATTTTCCTATTTTCACCCAGTTTGACGATTTGTACCCCCTGTTTCAAACGCGATCCAAACTTGAAACTAATGTGCAATAAAAGCTCTCTCTAAGTTCTTCCAATGATGGATGACTCATGCTGTTGAAGTCAATATTCTGGTCTGTGTAATTTTTTGAACGATTTATCTGGTCAGTTTTCCTCTTTAAATGTTTTACCCGAATACCAACTTGTGGAATCCTGGTGAAGCAACCAGGTATTGGTATATCTCACCAGTGATCGATAAATTGCTGTGATAATATTTTGTACCTGTTCTATGCTTTAGGAAATAAGATTTGAAGTTTTATGGATTTGCTGCAAATACAATTGTGTTGACTTTTACGCTTCCTTTGTATTTCAGACTAAGCAGACTTCAGAATGAAATTTTGCTTTTTCAAAGTGCCCAGTGATTGCCACAAAACAATCGACATATATAATTCTTTCAGTGAAAATGACAGGAAAATTTGAGTGTTTGGTTTGGAAAAGCCAAAAATGTATTGAAAAACCTTTGCCTTCATCACGAACAAGTTTGGTCAGTTCCAAACTCTTCTCAAGTGAGGGAAGAACTGCTGTGATCCCTTCAACGGCCACAGGAAGACGGTGAATTGAGGTCGAGTTATATCCTTTAATATCGCCAAAAAATTCAACCTCTTCGTCTGATTCCAGGATGGAAAATTGGTGCAGCATTCTTCATGAAAATGTCCAATTTTTGCTCCGCTCTGCAAAATGTCANCACCCTCCAAACATGGAATGACTTCCCTTCAAAACACTTCCCCCCAACCTTCCAACCGCAATTCAACGAAGACTCCGAACGACACAGCGAACGAGTAACGAACCGACGACCACGGAATGACCTTCCAGCGCGACCGCACCTTCCCATCCCCACATGGGATTCCCCGGAACCCATTGCACCCGGGGCAAGGCCGCGGAGTCCATCCGAGCTCGCAGCCGGACTTGCATACGAAACGATCCTGCCTCACGTCGAGATCCGTCCCTCGTTGACTCGTTTCATGTCATTCCCGGTGGCGTTTCATCCAGATCAAACGTGAATCTTCCGCCCACCTTTTGATGTCATCATAGACGATACGAGGACTGCAATTCGAGGATGCGAAAAGTGCACCTGACTTTCTCATGGATTAGGAGCCAAATGAATAGTCCATGATAAAAAAAGACGTATTGATGAGGTGGAAAATCGGTGGAAAATCAAGGGGGGGCACATGCCCCCCCCCCCCCCTGGAAATCGGGTATGGCAGTTTACTGGTATAGATAGTACTAAAAAAGAAATTTAATGCACTTCATGTGGAAATCTCTTCTTCCGTAGCACCATTTAGACCAATCTTGCCACGCAATATGAAACATCCTATCGAGTTAAAAATTCAACTCAACCCATCTGGTCCAGAGGCTCCGGTAACACTACTGCTCTACATAACATCGCGCCAAAGGATGAGGACGACGTCACCCTCGAGCACGCCGATGCAATGGCAGACGATTCCTCAGTCCACAGACCTCCAATCGATCCCAACAATTTCAAGTTGGACAAGTAACTTCACGAGCAGACCAAGAAAAGATCAACTTTCGAGAGTGTACGTAAATCTGCATGAATAGTTGACCGTTTAAGACAACTTACCTTTTTCTGCCTCTTTTTAGAATGGGAAGTGACCGAAGCCCTGAAATTTCTCAATTTACCTGATTTCAGTGTGTAGTCTCCAGTGTCTGAGGAGCAGACGACAGGACCGCACGCAGTGTTGCTCGAAACGAGTAACCCAACCAGGCACAGATTTCGTGGATAGAAGCCCTGAAATTTCTCAATTTACCTGATTTCAGTGTGTAGTGTCCAGTGTCTGAGGAGCAGACGACAGGACCGCACGCAGTGTTGCTCGAAACGAGTAACCCAACCAGGCACAGATTTCGTGAATAAGTACTTATACCATGCCAGCTTCTCACCGGAGGAATGATTTTAAAACGCCAAGACGTCCATGAATATCGTGAGAAGTGCTAGGAGTAAATATCTTCCCTGTCTGACTCGACACTTGAACATCGAAGTGACGTCAAGAAAGCAACCAGAGCCGTCATTGCAGTCCGCGTCTTCTGGTGATGGCGGTTCGCGTGTCGTCCGTCACTTGCCGGTTCGCCCACGTCTCACGCCGGCTCGCCCTGCCTTCCTTTTTGGCAACAGACGATCAAGAGCCACAGAGAAGACACGACGACAACTGCGTTAGATTGCCCAAGGGACGAGAAGAAGGGACTTGAAGAGATCACCATTACACTTTTTGAAGAGGTCCATCGTTCTGTAAAAACCGAGGGGCCATGCACCATTAGCACCTGCCGACAGCGGACACACAAAATGGCTTTAGAATGGCATTAGCCTCGTTCAACTGCGATGCTGTTTTTCAGTTTGTGCCAAATCCATCAATGGCCAATCCCCTATTCATGGTCAAGCGCCTGTTCTGATCGAATTTTTGGGTTCACGGCCAAGCGCCTACTGGCTAAAGTTGTGCCTGGCTCTTAGGCCTGACACTTGCCCCATTGTCTTTCCATGGCACTTGTGATTGGCCTGGGCCTGGTCTCTTGTCCTTCACTCATTTATTAATTTATATATTTTCTTAGTTCCTCTGATTTTCAAATTGAATAGGTCAATTATAGAGCTCCCACTGCTCTTCTCATTCTAACCCACAGTGCTAGGCAAAGTGCTTTCCTGGCCCTAGCACTACAAGCCCCCTATACCTCAGGGGTGCAAATAATGGGTCTGTGCATTCCCTGTTTCTGGGGGGGGGGGAGGGAACACTTCCCAACAAAACCTTTTTTTGCTTTTCCAGGAAAATGTACGGATTTCACATTTTCATTCTTTCCGAGTAAATGCAGTCCAAACTGATCAATCTTTCTCCCACCGTCCCCATTCAGCCCAAAAGCCAAAACTATCACATCTAGCAAATTTTCATCCTTGGTCTTTCAAGATGCAGTAGGTGCCGCTTATTGCGATCGCATCGGTGCAGAAACACCTTGATAGCATTAACCGGCTGATAACGATACGCGGCGATGGCCGAGGATTACCCCGCCCATCTTAGGATTAACAAATTAAGGAATATAACCTCATCTAATGTTGGGTGAAAAGAAAGGTGCACCGATGGAAACACTACGATAAAACATATCCACTACGATTTAGCAACATAGCAGATGGAACTCACGCCAAGAGACACGTTCAATATCGGATTGTTCCTGGAGTTTGTGCCTCTTTTGTCTTTGAAGGGTAGTGGGCCGAGTGGGAAGCGTTTCGCACGAGACGTGACTCGCTGAGATGACCTCACTGATAGCACGAAGCTGGTTCCGAGTTTTACGACTTGGGTAGAAAATTTTGAAGAAAAAAAAACATGGTCAATGTTGGATTTGGCTTTCGTTTTCGTGCTCTCATGGCAATAAGTGGCTGATAACATTCACCAGCAAGAGCAATAAGCGGCACCCACTGTATTATTACACAAGGGAATAAACGAAACGCGAATAATAAATTCTGCATCAAATTTAGTAAGTATGAACCATGAAGCCCAAGACCGAAATCCGCCGGAATAAAGACTCGTGCCCGTACACGCATCACATCAACATATTCATCAAAATGTATTATATTTAATATTAAAAAAAAATGAACACACGCTTTTAATAACATCATCCGAAGCAATGATTGCCCTCCCCTCATCCATCCTCATCCACCGCCTGACGCGACGAGCGAATCGCCTCGAATCGGTGGCATCGGAGCAGATCCTCCCCGACAACCGGCATCCCCGGAGTCTGGACTCCCCGCTTCCCCGCGGCGACACCGAGCGAGCCACCCCGTGACCTCCTTGTCCTCCTCCGCATCCCCCCTCAGGAAGACGTAGAAGGCGAAGAACCCGGGGATGCTTGCGAGGATGAGGACGACGTCACCCTCGAGCACGCCGATGCAATGGCAGACGATCCCCGCCAGCCACAGTCCTCCCATCGCCCCGGACAATTTCAAGTTCAACAAGTACCTGCACGGGGACACCGATGGAAGACCGACATTCCAGTTTGCATGCAATTCAACGTTTCAGACCTGCAACCTGGTTCGTGCCCACGAATGGAACTCACTCGTTCGTCCGTCTGCGGCTTTGAGCGAGGTGGAAAACGTCACCGGCATTCTCGATCATGAAACGATACGCGAGAGCGACGAAAACGACATCGGCCACCACGAGCAACGTCACCAACCCGAACGACCACCAGACGAAACGAGGATCATCTGCGAGGAGAAACGCGTCACGTTCGATCCGGATGACCCCACGAAAGGGGGCGACAGCTTTTCGGCCCCCGAATCCTCACCGAGCACGACGCAAACGTCCGACACGTCCCGAAACGCCTCCGCGACACGCCCGCTCCTCGACGCGGACGACACGCACGCCAGCGCCAGGAAGCACGCCGGGATCCCGAACGCGCCCAGGCAGCAATACACCAGCTTCCTCCTCTCCTGCTCTCGCGTCGGCGTCACCACTGCCCTGCTCGCAGAGACATTCCGCTGATATCAACACCATTTCCGTTTTCGGCAGTTTTCTGCACTCGGAACGTGCAACGGCGAATCGCAACGATTACGTTGGAGTTCGAGACGATGCATTCGCTTCCCAGAAGAGTCAATGGGGTAATTCTTCCTTTTTTTTTTTAATTGCGCCAGTTTTAGAAGCAGCTGGAAAAAATTTCTCGACTGTTTCTGCTTTGTTAAATTTCGGTTGTTTAAAATGTAGGCTGCATCTAAAAAAAAGTGTTACATCTTTATATTTGGGAAATTCGTGATTTTAGGAGAACTTTTCCTTGTCTAGCTTTTATTAGAATTAATATATTGAAGGGGGGGAAAAGATATCAATATTGTGACACCGACCGGCGGAAATTCCTGGTCAAGTGGCTTCAAGTTATCACTTTTTTTTTATTCATTCGCAAAGATGAAAAATCCCACAATATCCCTGTCTTTTTTTGGCTGGTCTGCGGCTTCTCGGTGTCTCTTCTGTGCTGCAGTTCCCTGCTCCTTCTTCCTTGAACTTCTCTAGTGGTAATGTGAAAAACTTCTCCAGGTAACAAGAAATTTTTGAACATTTCCCTTCCTTAATGCCAATCCGTCACGTCACGACAAAGCTCGTCCACCGAGAAGGAAACCGGTTTTGAGACAGCAGGTCAGGAAAGGAGCAGGAACGGACGAGTAGAAGCCTCCAGATGGGATGGTTTTATTTGCCTCCACAACCGGCTACACTAAAAGCACCCCTCATGGAACCACTCCCGTGTGAGCAACCATGTGATTTAGGGACAGTGTGAATATTTCGAAGAAAGTATTCATGGAGGATATCGCTACGAACGTTCCTGGAGTAATATGGACCGCTGTCAAAGAACTTCCGAGGAGTTGTCTATAATTACGGGCATTTCTTTTTTTATTCTCTTTCCGACATGAACCATCCGAGCTTCCTCCAAATTCTAAAAAGAAAGCCAGCACACACCTGATTCTATTTCTAGCGCATGCGCAGACGCTCAACCACCCACCAATCCGATTAGATACGGGTGTGACATTGGGTGTGAGACACATCACATTCCTCTCACATGTGACCCAGCATGTGATCGTGGGTGATTTTTCCGCATGGGACTTCTTTCAAGGCCATCGAACGTCAAAGTTTGCCCCTGAGGTGAAGCGATTCTCTGAAGAGGTGAAGAAACTCAATACTGTCCAGGGCGGGGTCAAATGTCCCCGCGTTCCTGACGTGTTCATATTGCATGTGATTTACTATCGCAGTGCATTTCACTGCGATTGCTATCCGTTTTAAATATCTGAGGCCATATCAAAATTTTTTCAGCATATCGCCTTTTCATGTTCATCAAATTCACTTCGTTGTCCTATCGAGCTGGTAATTCCACTCGGGATGCCGGCTTCCTTGGTTATATTGCTTCTTATTTACGATGGAAGCTCTTTCCTTCGGTGGAGAGGAGGATGAGGAGGAAGGTGTCGAACAGGAACGCGGTGCAACGAGGACGACCAAGGAAACATCGTGCAACAGCTCTTGAGAGTCTCTCGACTGAAGACTCATGAAGTCCAGTTGTCGGGACGGTAGGTGGATTTTTTCCAAAATCATGTCGTGGCACTCGTCCAAAGTGAGCAGGGGGGGGCAAGGGCGGTGAAAGGGAGTGAAGGGGGCAAAGGGGTAGAGGAGGGCAAGTCGTCTGTCCATCCTCTCCTAGCGTTAAAAATCGCCTGGTCTACAAGGGAAACCGCAGCTTGAGGAATGTATCATTTAATGAAATCGAGTGGATTCACCTCTCCACGCTCTATTGGTTCGTTCGATACGATGTCGTTTCCATGCTGTCCTTATCTAAACCAAGTGAGGTCCTTCGGATTCGGAGAACCAGGCGGTTTGGGATTATACTCCGTGAGAATTGCCGACGTTCACTTGTGCATCTCCTGAATGAGTCTCGGTTTTTCATCTTGAACACTGCAGTGCTCCAAATTCAAATGATGCTTTTCCTTCGAATGCCGTTACAGAGGACTCGATCCTTGGGGCATTCGTGGGGGGATTCATGAAGCACAGAAAAGAATTTCGGTTCGGAAAAGGGTCGAGCACGCACAATCAGACCCCCGAATATTCGTCAGCTTATAGTTTGCTTATAGTTAGCGGATTTATAGTTATTTCCTGAAATAGAACTCTCTCTTTCGGTTAATGTCATTACTGTCATTATTTGTCATCTGGTTTTTCATCGTATCATGAACGTAACGTCGTGGAGTATATTACAGGCTTTACCGGATTACTGGAATACAGATCAGGATAACTGCATAGTTCCACAAAGATCCGATTTCTAATTCTTACTTACTCCTTGAAAGAAGAAAACATTACGGTAATTCTACTTGCAGCAGATCCTCCTCCACATCCAGCTTCTCTCTGGGGTAATTCTTCCTTTTTTTTAATTGCGCCAGTTTTAGAAGCAGCCGGAAAAAAATTATCGACTGTTTTTGCATTGTCAAATTTCGGTTCTTTAAAATGTAGGCTGCATCTAAAAAAAAGTGTTACATCTTTATATTTGGGAAATTCGTGATTTTAGGAGAACTTTTCCTTGTCTAGCTTTCATTAGAATTAATATATTGAAGGGGGGAAAAGATATAAAGATTGTGACACCGACCGT